AAAAAAAAAAAAAAATAAAAAGCCCCACATTCACCGGCTCCTGCCATGCAGGTGGGTGATCCTCACTGCCTCCTGCTGCCCCGCGCTGTGTGGGGGGCTCTGCCATGAGTCCTCAGAAGCCCTGATGGCTGCTGCAGCAGCCGGTGAGTGTGGGGCTTTTTTAAGTACCGGGAGCTGGGCCTTGCAGGGCAGCCGTGGGGCAGGGGGAGGCTGGGACAGTGGGCGGGGGATGGGGTCTGGCAGGGGTTCCCACATGGTCCCCCACCCCCCACTTACTGGTGCAGAGTCCGGGTCCAGCTCCCTGCGGCTACAAGCACAGACTGCCCAAATCTCCAAAGCTTTCCAAATCTTTTCCTAATGAATTCAGACAGCTTTGAATTGATTCAGATATTTTTGTTGGTCTTCTGATTCCATTCAAATTCGAAGATTTGGCTGCCAAATCAGGTCAAATCGCCTCCAAATCAGATCGGCACCCAAAGCTTCACACAACAAATTTGAAAAATTAAGAATTGATATATAGCCCTGGTACCATTGGTAATGCAGCACTGACTTAAATGTTATTCTTGGAGAAATTTGTAGACCTATTTGAGACAATACTGTATACCAGATTTTGCATTAAGGAAATATGTATTTGCAGTCATGAAACATATTACATATTATAACTACATTTCACATTATTTTTAATTTTACTTGTACATTTTGTTACAATTTCTCCAAAACTGGATTTTTGTGTTGTTAATAAGTATCTAATAATATACATATCAAGTTAACTTGTTCATTTTTATAAGTGTCGTATACTTAGACATTTCTTACAATATGTTCAATAGTTGCATAAAACAAAAATGGCTGTCTCTCAAAATTTGACATCAGTTTGCTAAGTGATATGGTTTAGCAGATTGGTATTAAAGCAAGCATGGCTTTCCATTAATTCTCAAGGCACAGCTCTAAAATTTTGTTTTAAATTATATTATGACAGCTTTAGAACTCTCTCATAATGTATTCTGGAACCACCAGTGTATCACTTTACAAAATGCAAGTGTCCCAGCCCTTGCCACATAAAAAGTATATGTTCATATCTATTTTAGATTCTGTGTTATACATGATGGACATTTTCTTTTCTTTATCCAATAGAAAAGGTAGATTTAATTGTGTGTCAGCAGGCTGGAAGCAAGTAACATCCGAAGTATTAATTTGTGTTGCACTTTTGTACAAAATTTCTCTGTTGGTCATATCTGTAACTCGTGTTATATCCTAAGATGCCCGTCACCCTAATATCTAGGTATCAACAGATGTAACAACATCAGTTTTTCGCAAATACATGGATTAAATTGTAACAGGTAAATGTAACAGTTAAATTGTAACTGTTACTTTTTTTCACAATAAGTTTTACTGTGGGCTTGTTAACTTGGTGGCTTTAATTATAGCAAAATTCTTAAAGCTTTCAGTAGATATTTTATACTTATTATATATGCAGTTAATTTAAATAAATATAATTTATTATTATGGTGTTAGTCCTTGATAACTTGTATAACAGATGCTTATTTTTTTGCTTCAGAAACTGAAAAGTTGGCAGCTACTAGTGCTGTCACTACCAGTACCTCCTCCACCACCACTACCACCGCCACTACTACTGCTGCTGTAAAGCAGGAATCTCCACACACTACTGCTCCTGTTGTAAATGTTCAGAATATGCAGGAGAAAACAAGTTCAACAGAAGCCCTAAAGGTAGCTGGCCAGGATGGTGTGACTTCAGACCAGTTAGCAAAAATACAGGCATCTGTTGCAATAGAAGGATATATTGATGAGGAGAATATGGACAGTGGAGGAGAGGGCATGTACAGAGAACGTGATGAATTTGTAGTGAAGATTGAAGATATAGATGCACTAAAGGTAATCCAAATATTTGTTTTGAATTAATTATCAGCACACACCATGAAATAAGCATCAGTGAACTAACTACCAGAAGGCAGAAATTATGATTTGCTACATACCCTAACATTGTGTTGATGTCACTGTTATGCTTTAAAGCTGTCTTTCTAATTTGGGGGAAGAAACATAAAGCATGTGGAAGTAAATCCCTCTGTTAAATATTTATAGAAAGAATGTTCTAAGATCTAGAAGATTCCTGTTAACTAGTGCATTTTTTAACGTTTAGAAAAGAGCTAAAGTTTTCAAGCTAAACTGTTGTCCCTGCCAAGCTGCAGCCTGTTTACTGATAGTTTCAGATGTTGGAATAGTAGGTATCTTAGTGCTTTTGGGATGTTTGGAGGGTTTTGTTTTTTTTCTTGGGGTGGAGCCTGTTGTTACTACTCTAACAAGGATTGACTTCCATGTGCAGTCACTACAGCCCTTTATCTGTAGACTTTAAGGAAAAGAAATGCTTGTATTAGATTTGTTCTTCATTTCTGATTCTGTTGCTGCTTCATTTTCCCCATCTGTTCATTCCCAATACTACTGCTATTTATAGTCAGCACATTTGATGATTAAGTTTTCATGTAATTTTTAAAAATCATTCCTTCCTGGATGTCTCCATCTCTTGTCTATTTGCTGACCCCATTGAATACAAGGTTTAAATAAGTTGCAGTGATTATTTTTGTTTCTAGCTTTGTCGGGTAAGTGAAAGTATTACTAATTTTAAAATGTAGTATGTCATAAGTCTACATAAATTTTTTTACTGGCTCCTTTGGATCTTAATCTTCGTAGATTCATCCTTAAGTTGGTATTCCATTTCCTTAAAAATATGAGAATCTTTATAGATCAGTACTTATAGACAAAGGACTTACAGTGGTTAGTTAGTGATAATTATTACAAATTGTTTAAATATATTTAAGAGCTATGTTAAATATATGGACAAGATAATCAATTTCAGGTAGTTGTTGCTGATGCCTCAAGTTGAACTGAAAATATAATCTTCATCCAGTTCACTAATTTGTATCGACCTCTCTGTTTTCACATTACTGCAAGCATCATGCTGTAATGTCACAGGTACTATGGATATCTGCTGCTGCAGGGAGCTGGCCCTAGAGACTTTGGCAAGTTCTTTCTTCTGCTATTTGGTGTGATTCTTCAATTTTTCTCTCTCTTTTTTATGCGACGAAAAGATGATAATAAAAGAAACTTGGGGGAAAAGTGTCAAATTGTTAAAAAGGAGTCTGTCAGATATTTATGACTAAATTGCATGGTACACTAGGTATGACATCACAGCATAGATGAAGCTGACTGGCACAACCTCAAGCATTTTGAAGGTAAAGTGTAGTTTATAGGTAGCACTGTGCTGAATGTACCTCATATTTTAATATCCTGGTGCAGTTAGCACATAACAGTAAAATAACTGGAATCCGGAGAATGTATTTTCAATACCTGTCTAGAGAACTTGCTTTAAAAAATAGTAAACTCTGGAGAGAAAACAGCATAATTTTTTAGTTTAACCTTGTCTGCCTATGTCCTTAGACCAACACAGCTACAACCTACACCCCTGTAATTTTTTAGTTAATATTTTTTGGTCTTTATAGGTTGCTTTAAAAATGGGAAAAGAGCCTCCAGCTATTTGGAAAGTTCAAAAAGCTTTGTTACAAAAGTTTGTTCCTGAAGTGCGAGATGGACAGAGACAGTTTGCTGCTACCAATAGTGTAAGTATGAAGGTTTGTTTTCAAACCATATTGGACGTGACTTTTTGACTATACATAAAGGCACTGAAAAAATGGTGTCCTGTCCTGAACCTCTGAACTAATGTAGCATTTTGGCTGCATATGTTCTTTTCTAAATTCCCTCCTAACTTTAGGACTAATATTAAAATCAGGGGTCCCTCCACTCTGATCAGAAGAACAGTTTCTTGTCATTGTATATTCAGGGCCAGATTCCCACTTCCAGCCTGATTCCTTTGACACCATTCAGGCCATGTAGAGGGACCAGATTCTTGCCTCTTTAGCACTTGCATTTAAAAATGTTCTTCTGAGTGGCTATGTTTAACAGAATAACAGAAATGTTTATATTTGTGTTGTTTTGCCTTTTTTTCCCCACTCCAGTATCTTGGATATTTTGGAGATGCAAAAACAAAATACAAACGGGTATATGTGAAATTCATTGAAAATGCAAACAAAAAGGAATATGTCAGAGTCTGTTCAAAAAAACCACAAAACAGACCTGTGCAGTCTGCAAGGTATTTATTTTGAAATCCAGTTGGTATTATATTGGTCTGATGTCGGGAATATACCTACTTTAATTGTTTGAATATTTTGTTAAAAAAACTGTAATAATTCAGGGTTAAATTGCTAACTGAATTTCTTGCTTGTGTAATTTGTTTGGGATTTCACAGGACTACTAGCTTCTCTCCTTTGGTTATAACATGTTAAGAATGCAGCATTATGTTTGCTTATTGCTTAACATAATAATAATCCCATTCTGTTGCACCGTAGCACTCTGGCACTGTATTGTGGCAGTATAAGCGAGCGTTTCCCAACCTTTTTTGCCCCATGGCATACTTACCTAAATAAGAAAGCACCGTGGCACACCAGGTGTGGTGGGGGGGGAAGTGGTGTGCAGCCAGCCGGACACTGACTGGGGAAGCGGGGTGGTGCGTGGCCAGCCAGGCGGCATTTGGGTTGGAGCCACGCTCACCGTCTGTTTGTGTCCACAGAGGCAGCAGGCGGGGGGTGTTGCTTCAGCCAGGCAGAGGGTGTGACTCCAGCCCAAAATGCCACAGCACACCTGGACATGCCTGATGGCACACCGGTTGGGAAATGCTGGTATAGGTATACCATTGGATTCTTCTTGTAGGCTTTCTGTTTAACCTATTCATCTTCATAACCCTTCTTAGATTAATGCAACTTGGAACAAATGCTGTCTTGTTGAATGATTAAAATTATACACAGCATTCCAGATACAGTCTCCCTAGTGTTCTTGTATTAGTACTGGCTTATTGGTACAGAGATACCTTATCTGATACAGTCTACGTGCCTTTTTCACAGCTGCATTACATTAGTGGCTCTTAATCATCATTTGATTGACTAATGCACTCATGTCCTTCTCCTCCTCCTTTTGTTTCCAACTGAAGAGCTCCTAGCTTTTACAAAAAATTCTTGTTATTAGTGTCTGAGTGTATGTCTTTGTATTTAGTACTATTAAATTTCATTCTGTTTGTTACTTTGGTCTTCAAGGTCAGACCATTCAGATCTTCCTATATGATATTCTAATTCTCCTCTGTATTGACAGTGCCTTCTAGCTTTGTGTTATCAGCAAGTTTCATTAGCTGTTTTGGTTATTTCTGTAATAAGTCTGCAAGAGAAATCATAATTATTTTTTATGTAAAACTTATTATAGGCGCAAGCCTCCTGGGGGAGGCTGCTGTAGGAAAATAGGAGTAGAGTATGTTTAGAGCCCCCAGAATCTAACCTTGGTTGCATACACACATTTGAATGTAGATTCAGAAACTTCTCCCATGTTTGTCCTCTTGGTAGAAAAACTTACCCAGAGCTGTAAGTACAGACATTTGAATACAGAGGCCGTGAAGAGTGGAGAGCCTGCAGTGCCCACACTGCAGTTGGGGTCAGAGGGGTGAGGGAGGGTGCTGTACACATCTCGGCATGTTTTGCAGGCTCCCTTGAAAGAAATGCTTTGCAGCTTGGCAAGAAATGCTACCAGTGCATAGGGCAGCCCTGATTAGCTGTCCCAGACTACCCATGCCCAGCTTGCATTTCGTTAAAGCACAACATGGGGATTGTGAAGGAGGCATGTTTTGCTCCTTGCTGGAGCAGCGTAGTCCAGCAAGTGAGAGACTGTTTCGCTGGGTTGGGGGTGGGCATGCTGGAGAAAAGCTCTCTTCTGAGGGAAACTACAGCAATACAGACATTTGTTCTCCTAGGGGAAACTCCTGGGAGAGATTTAACCCTGACTGTTCCCAGGTTATTTTTCTCTTGGAGTAACCATTTTTACTTTCAGATAAAAAGCCTGCATGCCTGTACAAGGCCCTTGTCTCTAGCCAGTTCACCAGAAAATATTGGCCTAGTGAGTTAACCTCTGTGACTGTTTACCCACAGTAAAATGGGGAAAACTACTGTTTAAGCACAAGGGATTAATTAATATTTAGCAGCAGAAGGTGTAAATTAGTATTTAAATGCTTTTAATTAAATTGATCATACTACAGTGTAGTGAAATAGCATACCTAAATACATATCCCATGAGATGTACCTTACTGCCTAAATGATCTGACTGATCTTTTGTTAAAGCTAGTTTTTGTATGATTGTTTATTTTGATGGCTTATAAAAATGTTCATAATATTGTTGCAGAACTATTCACTGCAAACCAAGTGGTGGCGGCAACAAAGCACCTGATCCTCCAGCACCAAAACCTACAACAACAAAAGTCTCCTCCTCCGTAAAACCCAAAGCTAAACAGCCAAAACTAAAGGCAGAACCACCACCAAAGAAACGGAAAAAATGGAAAGAAGAGTTTTCATCTTCCCAGTCTGATTCTTCTCCTGAAGCCCAGAGTGATGATGATGGTGGGTCATGTTCTGTTATCAGTATCTAAGCCTGTTTTTAAAGGGAATGATTGGAGGTGGAGCAGGGTGCAGTGGTGCATTTGCACTCCCCTTTAATTCCTGCTCCACCCAAAGTTTTAAAACCAACTGCCTGGCAGGGACAGCAACTTTTCTAATCAGGCTGTGCGAAGGGAGTCAGTTGACTTCATGGGTCATAATAATCTACTTGTAAACTCTTCATTCCACAGGTGTTAATGACCCTCTCTTTTTTATGGTCTTGATGTTCCACCAGTCAAACTATCCTTTGTTCTGCAGTTCTGCTGCCTCTTAGCTAATCCTAGTAATGAAGCTCCTATTTCACAGCCCTGAAGATTGTTTTTAGCTCATTCCAGTGAAAATATATTTGCTTTTGCCTCAATCTTAAGATAAATAATACAGTCCTGGGCCCCTAACATATTAATAAAGCTTCTAATTTATTTTTAACAGGAAAAAATATATTATTTTGTATGATAGTGCATCTCATCATCTGTACCCCCCTCCCTTTTTCAAAAGTCTGGATCTTTCCATGAAACTATATTATAAAATATGTAGAGGTGCACTGATATATCAATTGCATATTGGATCGGCAGTTGGCTTTTTTTGGCCGGCGTAGCTGATGATATTGATACTGATAAATACTGCATGCATGCATGCAGCCGTGGTATGCACACAGTCAGGAATGCCACTGGGCAGCATGGAAAGCAGCCTGCTGGTAAGTGTGTGGGGGGGGGAGGGGAAGGAACAGGGGGAGGGAAGGAGTGTGGACGGGTAGACTGAGGTACCCATGGTGAGGTGTAGAGAGTGGGGCTGGGCCAGGGCCAGGGATAGGGGCAGGCACTGCCCAGCCAAGGCGGTTAAGGCAGCCCTGGGGCTGGGAATGGGATGGAACTGTGGGTGACTCGTCCAGGGGACACAGGATGTGCTGGGGAGGGGGCAGCTCCCTGCCAATGCACGCTCCTGATGGAGGCATGGGGGCATATGCTCCCCCCCATTTATGTGCAGGGCTAAGGTGGGCTACCCTCTGCTGGCTCAGGGCCAGGGTCTATGCCAGCCTCTTCTCAACGGGGGTGCTGGGCTAGGGCTGAGCTCCAAGGCTGTGGGGATGGGGTAGACAGTGGTGGTTCTGGGAGGGGTGGTTACAGGGAATCTTGGTGCGGCTATATCCCACCCTGTGGTAACCCCTTCCCAGTGCTGCCCCCATGCCAGGAAGAAGCTGGCACAGACCCTAGCCCCAAGCCTCCAGCAGGCAGCCCATCCTTGCCCTGCACACAAATCCAGGGGGCATATGCCCCCCATGCCTCCCCCAGGGGTACACGCAATGGTGGAGAGCACCCCTTCAGTTCCATCCCACTCCCAGCCCCAGAGTCTCAGTCACCACCCTGGCTGGGCAGCGCTTGCCCCTACCCCACTCCCTCCCTCACCATGGGGGCCTTGACCCCACACCCCCATGCCCCTTCCCTCCTCCACACCTCTTCACCCCCACAGACTTACCAGCAGGACACTGGCCTCCAAGCTGCCCAGTTGCATTTCTGTAAATAAGATATCAGATCAGTATCAGCTGATATGGCTGGTTAATCGCCTACTGGTATTAGTCAAGAAAATCTTTATCAATGCACTTCTAAAGATATAGTATTCAGCTGTTCCTTTTACTAGTGTAAGGGGCTACTTTAAAGGGAACTGGCAGCCATAGTAATTGAGGAACTTTGATAGAATGGAATAATCTCACTAATGAAATAGGTAGCTAAAAGGTAAAAATATTTTGGAAAGTGACACTAGGTAACATATACTTGTTTGTTAGAGGAATTTATTATACAGGCGTTTATGAGTAAATGGAAGTGTGACTGATTCAGTGGTACTCCAGAATCCTAAATGACTTTGCTTTTGAACTTTTTGACTCATCTGAAATTGTTGTGTGACAAGGATATTTCTTTATTCTTTTCTCCAGATTTTTGCTTGTAAAAGGTACATTTTTCTCTGAGGCACTCATTACCAGAGTACCTAAATGCAGGTAATTCTGCATCTTTTAAGGAAATATTGTAATTTATCTGATACCCTGTAAGGCTTCTTCTCTTTGGTATACAGACTGTTTGATTTTGTCATAATATCTTGTTACACTTTTAGGATACCACTAGAGGTCACTTGTGCTTAACAGTGAGAAAGCATTTGGTTTCGAAATATTTGTATATTCCCAAATGGTACTATTTTCAGCATGTTTGAGAGAGAAAATAGTCATTGCGTTCCGTTTCTTTTTCAGAGCTTGTACCTCCAGCTCCATTTGTCACTCGCTTTTTGAACACAAGAGCGATGAAGGAGACTTTTAAGAGTTACATGGAGCTGCTTGTTAGCATTGCCTTGGATCCAGATACAATGCAAGCCTTGGAAAAGAGCAATGGTACAGTATGTTTAACACTTGTGCCCTAGTGTTTTCTATTAGTCTGTCACTTTTACATGTACACATTTTATTAGTAAAACAAATGTAAAGCCTCTTGTTTCACATGGAGACTTTTATCTGCCCTTTAAGGCATACAAGGCCTTGTGTGTACATTGTATTTGCTAAAGGGCTGATGAAACTTCTCATTTGCCTAAATTCAATATTCATCAGTACCGTGTAAGACTATATTCTGAGACTATTTTCTTTGTACTAAAAAACAAATATCTGTAAATGAAGTTCTTCAGGGCAAATCTTGTTGTTGCCAAAATAAGGTCTCTGGCTTGTTTGCTCTGTGTTCCAGTTTTATCATATCATAACTTTTAACAATCTGAAAAATGGACTGTAAGATACATGCATAATTGAAATCCCGATCTATTTCCACAAATATGCCGTTCTTCCCCAGTGCCACTCTATTGTCTTGCAGAGCATACACCCCCAAATAAGACATGCCTTTTCAGAAGGTAGAATGAAGAGAGACATTTTTCACCAACTGGAAAGATCATAACTGCTTTGCCCTGCTAATGATCATGCATGCTCACAGAGTTAACAGAGAAGCTGCCTTCCCCGTGTCCCTACTGTAGCTGCCACATCAGTGAGAACACCAGCAGCTGCGGTAGGCAGGGAGCAATAACCTGTGGCTCCTCTGTTAACCTGATAGATCAGTGGTGCCCAGCTTCTTCACCCCGCAGGCCAGATGAGCAGTGCCAGGTCACTCTGGGTTTGATTTGGCATGTGGATTGGCCCGCCTAGGGCCTGATGCAGCCTCATGGCAGTGGCCCACCCAGGGCCCAGTCCAGCCTCACAGGGCTTGCAAATTTGGTAGCAAGTAGTGGTGGCGGCATTACTACTGCTCCTCCGCTACCAGATTTCCGGACCCGTGAGGAACTCTTCAGTCCAGATGATGTAGCTCTGTGGGCTGGGGGCTGAGCACCTCTGTCCTAGATGCTGGCGGCAGACAATTCCTCATCTCAGCAGCAGCCTAAGGGTGTCCCATTAACAAAGTGAAGTTGGGAAGAGGGGCAGTAACCTGGCATGTGCTGGACAGGGGACAACACAGTGAGCACGAGGGTCTCCCTACCTGCCAGCCATGTTTCCTTAATTCAAATCACACACCTCAAGTTCCAGTGGCTAATTTCGGGGGGGAAAGTCCATGTGGTATGTAAGGAAATATAGTAAATAATTGAAGTCTAGATTAGAATTTAATAGAAGAATTCTGTAACTGTTTATTAATAAAATATTACAGTATTCCTCTGATTGTTAATTGCCTAACCTGAATATGGCACAATGGAAGCTAATTCCATTGGGCTAGCATCTTGTTAGGTGCAGCCACAATCCATTTTTTATCAAGATGGCCTCCATCAAAAAGCATTTTACAAAAGCTGATTCTAATTAAGAACATTTTCAAATACATGCCTGCTTCATTATGCACTCATATTCAGCACTTTTTGAAGTTTTGTTTTTCAATTTTTATTTGAATATAATTATGCCCAGGTTACCTTCAAGAGAACCAAGACTTGATGGAGTTAGTTCTGTCGCATTGAAATTTAAATATATTCTGTAGTGAACTGTAGCAAACAAACCTTAGGTCAGTATTCTCTAACACAGCGTAGACTGATGTAAGAAGACTGAAGCACAGAAATCAGCATGCATTTCCGTAGTGTACAGCTGCTGCAAAATTGAGTTATCCATATTTCAAAAGCTTTTCCCTTCTTGAGTCTCAATTTTTACACACATCCTATAAGGATCTATATCTGCAGCAGTTATGCCAGTAGAATGAAGAGGGGCTGCTTGTGTGAATAAAGGATTGAACAGTTTAGAAATAAACAGTCTTCTTAAGCACCACATTGCCACTTACTTATGTTTTACTGGATTTTGTTCAATTGTTTAAGAGTTGGGTAGTCTTAATAAAAGGTAGTTCTCCTAACCTGAGCCGCCTTCTGAACAACCCGTCTCTGAACTGCAAATTTTCTTGCATGATAGTGAGAGATTTAGGGAACTGTTTAAGGTTGCCTGTGAAATTTATTCTCTACAATGCCCTTTCCATCTCCTTTTTGAGCTTTTAACAAACAAAAGAACCAGTTGCATTTACATTTAGCTGTTGGGTTAGATATGGTATATGTGCTGAGTTTTATACTAAAGTACCAAGTTCTCTTTCTTAACTTATAAAACAAAGTGAATGATTTAAAACTCTTATTTAAAACTTTGGTAGTATAAGCAAACTGCATTGCAGTGTTTTTTACTTTCAGCTTATGCTAATGATCATAACTGCCTTGCTTCACTCATGATCACATGTGCTCATGGGGTTAATGGAGCAGCTTCCCTCCCTTATGCCCCTGCTTTACCTGCCACTGAATTTTGTTGTCATCAGTGAAAACACTAGCAGGTGCAGTAGGTGGGGAGCAACAATCTGTGGTTCCTCTGTTAACTTGTTAAATGAGTGGCACCCTACCTTTTTGCCCTGAAGGCTGGGTAAAGCAGTACCAGGTCAGTCTGTGGTTCAGGTAGGGGAAAAGTTTTGTATTAATATTAAAGTGTTAACTTTAAAAAATTGCATGTCTTTTAGATGAGCTACTTCTGCCTCATATGAGAAAAATTGATGGCATGCTGAATGATAATAGAAAAAGACTGCTTCCCAAATTACATTTGGAGCATACATTAAAGGTATTTTTTTTTAACTTTTTAATTTAAAACAATGGTAATTGAGTTGCTGAATATACTTAAGTATATGGCAAGAGAACAAATTTGTAACAAGAGTAGAATATAGGTTTAGAAGAGACTACATTAAATCTTAGTACATTACACTTAGAAACTTTTGGGGATTAAGATTTTTAACTGTATAGATAAAGTTCAGTTTTACTTCCCATGAACGGTTTTACTTATTAAGTTTGTCAAGATCCTCAAAAGAAAACTAACTTGATGTTCCTTTGGAGAATTTTTTTCTTTAGTGTCCTATATTGTATAAATTTTGGTAGATGTATTTTGATAAATGGCTTCCCTAAGGAACAGCAAAGCAGACGTCCCAGCTTTGGAGAGGTAAAGTGGGATTCCAGGACTACTTAGACTGGGAGGGGGGGTGGTCACAGGTGGAAGAAGAATCCTTTTCATCTAAAGTCCTAAGTTTAAGGTGTGGAAGAAGTGGGGGACAGATGTGAGTACCACTGTTGAACACAAGGCAAGAAAAAGTGAAGGATTGGGTCAGGGACCAGATATATCCATACCAGCATCCTGCAGTATGTGTACCAGTCAGGAAAAGATGGGTTGGACAAGTTGTAATGATATTTGATGCCTGTTCCTCCCTTTTCCCAAACACCCTTGGAAACGCCCTTTCCAAGATGGGTAAATAGTTCAGAAGCAGATTTGTAAGGGGGGGAAGAGAAAGTTGAGGGTTATTGTACTGTTGTTGGAAGCTGGCTGGCAGGATTGGACTTCCTGGCCCCCCTAGCACTTCTGACTTTCCTGCCCAAAGAGTTGTTTCACTTGCTATGGAAAAAGCTTAGAAAGTAGATTGTCTCTTGTCTCCTTTCCCAGCAGGGGTTTAAGAGGGGACTGGTACAACAGTCTTGATCCCTTCCCCTTGCTGTATTAACACAATGAGATGTGTATATATAATACAAGAGTTACTGGATAAAATCAGGTGGCCTATATTAGGAAGAAAATCAGACCAGGTGATTTATTACATTTCCTTCTGGCTTCTAAGAAAGCCCTGACCTGCCCTATCTACAGACAGCAGACAGAGTCAAGCTGGTCATATTCCAGCAGTAGTGAAACTGGTAGCATCACCTGCATGTCCATCTCCAGTATTCCAGCTCCAGTATTCTGGAGCATCCTTGTTATTCTGTTATCTACTTATCTCCTATCGATCTATATTGGGGAAGGGAGGTTTAAGCATTAGTGCCATTTCTTCCCTTCTCAGTTCTGGGGAACTGAGTTCAGTTAATTCACAGAATATTCTTTATAAAGCAGTAGCATTAATAAAGTGCAAGTATTGGGCTCCTGTTCCTACTGTTACTGTCAAATAAAAGTTTATTTCTGAAGTATTCCAGACTAGTATTGGATAAGAGATTTTTTAATAAAATGGGTGTGTTACATTTTTGGAAGTTTAGTTTTACTTTTTGAGAAACTAGTCTTTGTTACCAGAACTAAAGTACATGGCTAACAATCAGGAGATTGGCGATCTGAATTTTGTTTTGGGCTTTAGATGCTTATAGTATGAAACTGAGGCATGTGGCTGTAAAAGCTCTGTGCTTGAATTTTCTCAGTTTTCAAAAGAGGAAGATAATGCTTCCCTAATTCACAGATACAATAAAGCCATTTTACTGATATTTCTGAAACACTCAGGCCTTCATCCTAAATTGCTTGTTGGATTTCTGACTCATTTATTTTATTAGTGAAGGTCTCAAAATTTGCTGCTAAACTTCTGTGAAGGGATCTGATCCTCTGAAGACATAGTAGCTAGTCAAAAACAAGTTTATTATTTATTTGATAGCTAAACGATCTTATTCCTAAGTCATTTTAGGAATAGCGTATTTTTTACTTGTTAAAATTAACTTGGAGACTAATTCCTCAGTTTTTAAGGAAACTGAATAATTGATAAGTTCTCTTTTGGTAGAATTCTTAAAGTCATAATCCTTTTTATTTCTGTGCTGTTTTAAGAATGCTTTGGAAAACTTTCCTGAACTGACAGTAATCACTCGTGATTCTAAATCAAAAAGTGGAGGAGCTGCTATTTCTAAAATTAAAATGAATGGGAAAGCTTACAACAAGAAAACACTGAGGGCTTCTAAATCAACCACTAAGCTAGCACAGGTAAATATTTAAAATGGTCTTTACTTTTGTGATCATATTTCTAACATGATACAAAATGATTCCAAAATGATTTTTTGTTGATACTTTTATAGTCTGAATTCATGAAAAAATAAAATCTTTACTGAATTTGTCAAAAATATTATAATTTAATAAATTTTTAAAATTTGATTTGAAACCACATGTTTAATCACTTGAAAGGAATGACCCAGTTCCTTTCAATTTTCAAGAATACTAATTATTGCATTCTAATAGATCAGCAAAATAGAATGCATACATTATAATAACATTTCAGACCACTAGTTCTTGAATAGAATTGTTAACTTATTTAAAAAGGACATATTTAGAGCCAAACCATGGTCTCTGCTGCAAACCTGTATGAGAAATTAAGGGGACATGAGGCAACTTCTTCTTATACCATGCCAGGTATTCGCACTGCAAGCAGCCATAGGAAACAGTCTCCTTTAAGTGCTACTTCCTTCCAGCATGGGTGGCAAGGAAAGGGCAGGGAGAAGAAGGGGACTTGGCTTCTCTCCCTTTCACCCTTATGATACACCAAGACAGGCTAGGCAAAGGTCTTTTGCATCCCCTCACCTCCTTCCACCAGTCAGGAGAGTGGTGGGGGTCAGGAGGAGAGTGAACTGACACCAGATTCTGATATTATGAATAAGAAGCTATTTTATATTCTGCTAGGGTGGCATAACTATTGCATGCTCCTACAGGGGGCTCATGGCAAAGTCACTATTTAGTTCTTACCACTGTTAACCAACCAATGCTTAAACAATGATGAATACTTTGTAGAAACTATTAGACACCGTAGAGAAAAATATTACCTTTAGAGGAAATACACATTTTAAGAAATTTTGCAGGCCATGTATTTAAACTGTTAAATGTTTTTGTCCTACCTTTTCACTTACCTTCACTGACAGAAATTGGATTGCATATCTAATTGCTAAAAGAATAAATGTAGGAAGCTGGAAAAATGTATGTGACTCGTGACTTTACCAGGACAGTCTTAACTGGATTTTCTGGACACAAATCCACATGTACTTTTAGCTAATCACAGTAAATTCTGGAGATGCCATCAACCAGCAAATCTATAACAGGTTTTTTTTTCTTGCCAAAGTTAAAAGTTATTGGAGCAATTTATGTAAGTTCTTTTCACTCTTCTAATACAAAATATGCCTTCTCCTTTCCAAAAAACTGTATCAGATTGGCAGATGAAGTGAATCAGAAAGCTGCATCTTCTGCTGCTAATGAAGATCACAATAATTCTTGAAAAATGACCATTTAATTCCTCCAGGTAATGAAAATAATGGAAGAAAATGGTCAAACCCAACTTTAATAAGGAAGATAACTTTATACTGAAAACAAACTAGGGCGAGGTAATACTACATTTTTCTGCAAGAATGTTTAACATAGTTTTCTACTTTGTCAGGGAATATCTAAAGCAGTGATTCTTGCAGTGCCTTGAGATACTTTTATGGTTGCTGCTGTGTGATATTAGCACAGTTAGGTGTGCAAACACCTATACATGATTCACAAGATAAACCCAGAGATTTTAATTTGGAATCCATACTGTCAAATTCATTCCAACCTGTTGTGGTCTTTGAGTTTTTTGGAACAAAAGAATTGCTCTAGTATTTTTCCATAGTAAAAAAATGAGTGAAAGCTAAAAGGTGGCATTTTCCAAGGGGTACTTTGAGTCTAAAAAGATTGAAAACCACCGATCTAAAGTTATTTTCTATTTCTGAATTGCTAAAACTGGCATTAATCTATTGGCCAAAAAGTCTAATATTCAATGAATTTTTCTTTCAACTAACATCATTAATGTCTAAAAATAACTGTTTTCTTTGCAGGAGTTTACAGTTGATCCAGAAAAAATACAGTTGTACTCTCTGTATCACTCACTCCATCATTACAAATACCACATATATCTGACATGTAAAGAAGAGGTGAGTATTGTTCTGCTGCTTATTTTTTTTTACATTATTTTAGACTCATTGCAAACCAGTAGAGAAAGTTAAATTGTCTATAAATAACTTATCAAAGCATCAGTGTGAGGCAGCAAATTTATTTTTCTGACTTTAACATCAAAGAAAATGATGATTCTGTTGAAACTAAACAACTTTTTTAAAACTAATACAGTGTAATCATTAGTTAACCTTCATGGATTATCCTAGTCATCTGCACCAAAGTGTCTGTTAAGATGAGCAGTGTCAGCAGTGGTACTGGTAGTGGCTCCATAGTTAAGGCACTCTTTATGTTTGCACTTAAAGCAGGATAACACTTTTTTTCTTTTACATTTCTAAAATAAGTGAATTTTCTCTGTGAAATGCTAACTTCTATAAAGGAAACATTTTAAAACGCCTGTTTCTCAATAGTCTGTTTTTCTTTCATTCCTATGGTTAAACTATCAATTGCCACAAATAGCAAATTTCTCTCATGCTGCTTGTTCCTCATTTTTCAATATTTTTTTTCTTGCATATTAGCATATACATGTATTCTGGTAACATTTTGAACTAGGCCACTTTTGATTATTGTATATTAAACACACAGGCTTGATTTAACTTTGAGTGACTCTCCACACAGATTTCACTCTTAGTGCATGTGTATCTCATAAATGTAAAAGAAGTGTCTGCTGGGGCGTGGTCTGTGCCATCTAGGCAGCAACCCTATCAGTGACCATTTCTGAGAGGCCATAAGAAGCACTGTTCCAGTGACTAGAGCCCATTCCCCTCCATGCAGCTTTCCCTGAGACTTTGCCTTTGGCAAATCTTAGGGCACAGAGGAGTCCTATACCAAACCTGAAGCCAGCACCAGAAGTCTGCCCATGTATTAAGACTGCACTGAGAGAGGCCATGGAGCTCTGTATTGAGACCCTGGCTTCATCAAAGACTAAACCAAATATATCCACCAAACCAGTCTTTGTCACCGGCCACCCAGTAGTATGTTACATTGCCTAACACTGAGGCTAAGAACGGACATTCAAAAAGCCTGAGCCTGAATCAGTTAAATCTTTGCAGGTTAGTCTAACCTGTGTAGATTGAACTGGAAAGCGAGTGAATAAATATTTACTTTTTATTCCACAAGTGCAGGCATATGCCTGCAGTGGCTCGAGCCAGAAGTTATGGGATGCTAAAGTGAGCCCTTGGCTGGAAAGGAACTGAGCTGAGGGGGGTGTGGCTAGGCCCCAGCAGGCTGAGTATGATTGGGGAGGGGTTTAAACCCTCACTCTGGCCTGCACGATCCCCAGTCAGGCTGTGCCTACAGGGGATGGGGGAAGCAGCCCCAGCCAGGCATTTCCCACCCTCTTCGCCACTTAAGCAGCAGGGGCATGGCCAACCCTGGCAGCAGCCTCAAGTGAATGGGAAAACAGAAGGGGGTTTAATTCCCCCCAACCCCCTGTCCCACAGGCACAGACCCCAGCTGGGGTCTGCCTGGCCAGGATAGAGCAGCCTGTCAGGATTGCTCCCCGCCCTCCATGGGGTAGGGGCATGGCCAGATGCCAACCGGAACGGCCCCTTGAGGTGAAGGGGACAGGGAAGGAGGTTTATTCACCCTCCCT